AAGCTGTGAAGTTACTTAGGTATTGATTTTAGTTTGTAGAATTTATGAGTTGGAGCTGAAAACTGGTCTTAAACTTGAAAGCTAATTTCAGCATTAAATACAGAGAGGTGCTGTCCTGGTTTTCTACTGTCCTGAGTTTCCCTTATAACGCTGATAGAATAAAAAGTTCCCAGGGCAGGTGAAAATATCCCCAGGGAAAACCTCTTTGAAGACCAGTGTTCCATAGTTAACACAGAGCTGACAGAATAGCTCCTTTTAATGTTAGGTGTATGTTGGGGAAAGGAGGAGGAATGGAAATTATTCTTGGCTGTCCAGGGCTAATCAGAGTATAAGTAAGAGCAGTCTTGTGGAATACAAGGAGTACTTACAGCATCAACACAAGTGTGGGTCAATGGAGAGTTGGGTCCAAAATCTTTTTATTGAAAGTAGAGTGTAGTGAAGTATCTATTTGATGTTGTGATGCATGAATATAGATATGTAAAGTCAGCGTAGAAACTAAAAATGTAAAGAGTTTTCCTCTGCTAAAAATATCCTGTAGATTTTGTGCATTTATGCCTATGTTGATACAGCTTTCTGTATGAATAATTCAAAAGTCTGGGCAAATATGTCCAATGAATCTCAGATATCAAAACAACATGTTCTGGCATCTATTGAGGACACCTTCTGGCTGACATCAAAAACTGGAGGAGAGACTTATTAAATATTGTGCCGAGACAGCAGCTGAAAGATGCTTACTACCTTGAGGGGAAATGGTGACCAATATGTCAGCTTGTTTTTTACCATACTTCAAAAAAGTGATCTAATTGGTTTATAGGTTCATTGTATATAATTTCCTTTGCAGATGATCAGCAATCTGCCATTTGTGTTGCCAAGTAAAGTATTTCAAGGCTATTTAATAAAATGGTGAACTTTAGCAGCTTTGTTTTTCTTGTTGCCTTGATTTCAGGCTTCATCCAGTGTCTCCTAAAATGCTACCATTTTTTATTATTATCTTCTTTTAGTATATTGATTAATTTTTGAAGCATAGGCCAAATAGAAAAGTAATAGGATGGAAATATGAAGAATGTTGTTATAATGAATCTTAAATGACAGAATTACAGTGCTTGAAATGTAAATCATAACTAAATATTTGTTTAACCTCACAAATGTTTTATGTTATGGTTTCAAAAAATATGACAGATATCACGATGCTTCTTTCAGAGACTGTACAGTATGCTAAGCTGGTTAACAAAAAAACCCAGCTAGGTTATAGGATTTTCTATTGACACTGGGAATGAATTTTGCATTCAAATATGCTTTTTTCTGAGTGAACCAAATATGTGGTTTCCACTTAAGGTAAAATTCTGTTGTGTACCACTTAATCTCTCATTCAGTATTTATGTACTTCATTAGATGTACATGGTGCTCTACAACCATAATACATGCCCTCTGTTCCAAGTAGCTAGGTTAGCAGGAAGCTTACAATCCAGGGCGTCAACTTAGGTTCCTTACCATGATAAATTGTATGGTGTTGGGGTCCTTGTAGACTGACATTTCATCAGGCTTCCCTTATTTTTTTTTAAATGGTCTTTATCTGCACTTGTCTTCTCCTTGATACTCAATAAATTTTGATACTTGATAAACATACAAAATTTTTGCAGTGAAACATTTGCAGTTGGAATATAGATCATCCATAAAGTTGAATTTGGAACGTATACAACTCCTGTACATTTGTGAATGCTACTTTTGGAGATTTTTCAAACTTGTACAGTAGGATTTAGTTTTATTGCAGTAGAAAAAAGGATCTCTACTTTGGGGGAAAAAATGAAACTGTTCTATAGCTTGTCAGTCAGAAAAGCTTTTAAGCTGTATCTATAAGGTGGACAGTTTAATGGGTAAGCGATGTTTGTTCTTCATTTCAAGTGCATCATTGCACTTTAAGTAGTATAAATTTAGCCCCCTTAAGCTTGATCTCCTGTGGCTGAGATTTAAGTGTTTGAACTTTAGTTGAAAGGAATATATTGATTAGTCTTTGATTTAGTCATTCCCCACTGAAAAGATACCCTGTAATGACTTGTACCTGCCCTTTAGTATTTTTATTCATTTAAAGATTTCCCTCTTCCCCTCTCCAACAACTTTGCCTAAAAGACTGCAGTACTATAAGGAGGAGAAAAGAAAAAGCAGCTGTCACACTGGGAACATAATTGATTCAATAAATAACATTTTTAAATTCCCAAGGCAAACCTCTGAGTCTTCGCTTATGTCAATTAGTGCTCTATTCTGTAAATGGTGGCATGCTTAATTTAGACTGATGGGCTAAGTTAGCCAGTTATTGCCTCTTATAGAAAGAGTAGTCACAGAAAATGAACTAATATATACATGTATAATACACATAAAATCTCATCTGATTTTTATGAAGATCTGTGAAAAGTAGTCTTAAATTATTTTTTTAAACTAGTGTTGCTTTTTATTTTCAGTGACTCCAATTGAACAAGCATTTTGTTAGCTTGTTGAGCAGAAGAACATACAGGGTCTCATGGAAGACCATGGCAAAATTGCCCTTTAACTTCAGGATATCACCCATAGGATGTGAACATATTCTAGCAAAGATTACAGCTGTGCAGATAATTTTTTTTTCTTTAGTCCATTGCGTGGACCAAAAAAAGGCCCCAAAACTGAGAATAATTTAGCTTTGGGTCAGAGCCAAACAAAATGGAATCAGTCTTTTGCACTGAATTTGAAACACTTAAAAAGCATTTTGGGTCAAAACACTTTATTCAGTCCTCAGTAGAATGCATTTTTGGGTATTCTTTTTAACTTTTTAATGTAAATTTGGTCCTGAAAAATAATTTCAAAATGAAACAATGTTGAATAGTCTTTTTCAACAATTTAATGTTATAATTCAGAGTTCATACATATTGGTAACTGCTTGGCCACAGACTTCCTTTATGTGATCTTGGGCAAATTACTTAGGCTTGTCTTTGCAAAGAGAAGGGGAATGAACCTGCCTAGTCTTTACAGGACTTTACCTCAAGTTACGTAGTTCAAGTTAATTTTTGAGGAATGGATTAGAGGCCTTCTGAGGTTCCTTCCAGCCCTATTTTCTTCTTTGCTTACATGAACACCTTTTTTCCTCCTAGCGAAGATGCAGCCAATGTCTTCCAGCATGTTAGTTCCCATACATGAAAAAAGGTATAGCATGCTGTACTGTGTGGGGTGCTTGGACGATAAATACATTAACCCATGAGGCACTTGGGTATCATTGGCAATTGGAGTACTTAAGAGATGGTCTGGTAGGCTGTTGTCCATTAGGATGTTAAAGTTTTGGCATTTACTCTCCCATGCATTGGCTAACTAGGTCAGCACTAATGCCAGCAGTTGTTTGCCTTTACAGGGTGCGCTCTAAGGGCTGTCTTTCTTCCTTTGCCTGGGAACAAATGGAAGGAAGGTAGAACTATTTGCTGGTGTCTTGTGGATTGTATAGGGAAGGTAACTTACTTCTCTTTTCCCAGAGATGTGTAACTTAATCTGAGTCACTTTGTTTGTACAAGATTGTCAGTGGTACCCAGAGTGCTGGATTAGTATTAATAGAGGTTGGAGCAAATGAATGCATCCTAAAGGCGTTTCCAGTCCTGGAGATTAGACCACGTCTCAACAGGCAGGGCATTTTTACATGTGCTACTGATACAGCGCCAGGCACTTTTAATCAGTGAGCTGCACTAATTATAAGTGCCTGGTGTTGCATTGGGAGCACGTGAATCGGCGGCTCAGCATGCCTCTGCGCTGAGAAAATGGAGGCAGTGTGTTTTGAACTAAAGCACATCGAACATGTTTTAGTTCAAAGTGCACTGCCACCATTTTCTCA